GTATAGGACTTTGTCCTATTCACTTAAAGAAAATAAAAACACTTTAAAATGATTTTCTTCTTGTAAGTGTAAAAATATAAAATCAAAGACAAAGAAAATAAACAATAGAAAAGTTTTTTTTCACCAGGGTTACCTCTACATATTGTTAATATTTATGTTTTTTATAGGGGCGGATATTATAAGATTTTTTTCATCTTTCTCTACCTTTCATTTAATTTGATTCATGTTTTTTGTCTGAATTTTTTATTAAATGAATAAAGTAATAATAAATAAACAGAATTAAAACTGTTCAGATTGAATTTATGTGACGTATGTGCCCCCCACCCCCTCTTCTCCAGCTGCTGCTACTGCACTACAAGGCGAATCCTGACGCTCGGGACAACAACGGCAACACTCCGCTGCACTTCGCCTGCATGTACGGGCATGAGGACGTATGTCAATCACTCACTTCCTGTCCAACAGAATGTCTCGTGTTCAGGTGCAGGATGTCAGTGTTGGGTTGGGTAAAATGCTTTTTATTTAGGCATTCAGACCACACAGTTTGAGGGTCCTTCAAACAGCTTTCAGGTGTTTTGTTCTGGAGAGACCTCTCTAACCTCTCAGTCAGCTGGAACATAATTCTCAAATCCCTCTGAGCTCTGAGGAACCACCAGAGCAGAATAAATGCTTTTGCAGCTCAAGTCTGAGTGTCAAGTCTCATAAAAATGAGAACTACATAAAAACTATATATACAGCCAGAGACACCTATTTTAAGAGTCTTATATTGAAAGTGCTAATAATCTAATTAGTTGGGTTTTGCTAGTAACAGCGACTCAGTTCAAACCTTCACGGATGACATCATCTCCCATTGTTGGTTCTGTTTGTTCCTCTCCTCAGTGTGTGAAAGCCTTGGTGTACTACGACATCCAAACGTGCCACCTGGACCTGCAGAACGATAAAGGCGACACGGCGCTGCACATGGCCACGCGCTGGGGTTACGAGGGGATCATCCAGGTGCTGCTGGAGAATGGGGCGAGCACCCACATCCTCAACAGGAACAAAGAGTCTCCTCTGCATTGTGTTCTCAACTCCAAGGTCAGAGGGCAGGGTGTGTGCGCCTGAACACGCCGAGGCTGTAAAATGTTCAGCTGTAAAGGGAAATGAATAAAAACATGCTCTTGTGTTTTATTTTTCCTGTAGATCCTCCTGCTGTTCCAGTCGCTGGAGAACGGCCATCAGTCCAGCAGCGTTGATGTGAGTTTCATCTGTTCTGCCCAAGACACAAAACTGAATCAATCAATCAATCAATCAGGTTCATTGTCACATCACATAAGCACAGGCAGACAGGTGAGTGAAAAACTTGGGTGCAAATTCCCACTTGTATGCAGATTATAATATTACAATATTCAAACATAAAGAGACAAAAGAAGTATCGATACACTCAAAAGAATAAAAAAATAAAAAATTGAAAAGACTTTCACTACACAATACACTTACACTGTAAACATACAATATTGCAAAGTTGAGTGTACAGATATATTCTGACAATGTAGTTATATTATAATTGTATTTTGTGCATCAAAAGCAGATAGTGTGTGATGGGAAAAAGGGGATAAACCAAGGGAGGTGTAACTCCTGAGTAAGATTCAGAGTGAGTTTATACGAGATGAGGGATGAGAAATAGACCAGTAGGAGCCATTAAAGTGCAGGTCCAAACTATGTTGATTTTTGTGAAATAATAGAACTGGAGAAGTGGTCAGTGGTGGGATGTATAGAACATTGAGCTACTGATCTAACATCCTAATCACCTGAGGAAAGAGAGAAGTGGGGTCTCTGCAGAACATGTCCTGTGGGCGGAGATGGCCCAAATCATGATTGGCAGAGGTCTTGATGTGAGCGGAGACAGCTCAAAAGACGTGATTGGTCGGATTGTCTGTAGGGTTTGAAGAGGCTGGAGGCAGCGGGGAGTAGCATGTGGAAGAATGTGTCACAATATGGCTTGGTTAAAACATCCCTAATCAGCCTGTAAAAAGATAGCTAAAAATAATTTTTTACAACCTGGTTAGGGATGTTTTGACGAGCCATATTGTTACACATCCTTTCACTTGTACGACGTTCAAATTTCGTGCCGCTAGCACTTTCATTTCTCAAATTATGACTAAAATTAATCTTAAAAAACATGTTGCCTCCAGCCTCCTCAAACCCCAATCCGACCAATCATGTCTCTTGGGTCGTCTCCGCCCACTTCGACCTCCGCCAATCACGAATATGGTCGTCTCCGCCCACAGGACATGTCCTGAAGAGACCCCTACTTGAGGTTAGGACCCTACACGCCCACCCGAACCTTTGATCTGCTGATAACCAGCCTTTTTCAGTTTATTCAGTTAATACTTGTTTGCAATAAAATGACTCATGCCCATTTCATCTTTTTACATTTCAAAGCTCTACTTAGAACCTTCTTAAAAGCCAGCAATGCAAAATGCAAAGTCTTAAAATTTTGATCAGGAGTGTTTGTAACGTCCTTCAGAAGAATAGAAAAAAGGACAACTCTTAAAGCTGATTTAATATGGAAGGTTTAATGATTTTAAATCGTGGTTGTAGTAAGTTGAATGGTAAATGGTACTGAACTTATAGAGCACTTTTCAAGTCCCTCCGGACCCCCAAAGCGCTTTACACTAACAGACATTCACCCATTCACACTCACATTCACACACTGATGATGGCAAACTACACTGTAGCCACAGCTGCCCTGGGGCACACTGACAGAGGTGGGGCTGCCATGCATCGGCGCCACCGGACCCTCTGACCACCATCAGTAGGCAAGGTGGGTGAAGTGTCTTGCCCAAGGACACAAACGACTGAGACGGCTGGACGGGGGATCGAACCAGTGACCTTCTGGTTCCAGGACGACTCCCCTAACCACTCCGCCACAGCCGCCCCAAAGCAGAGTTTTCTATGATTTATTTCTGTTCAGTTTTTCAGATTCTTATCAGGCCCTCCTCATTTTAGTTCTGATTATTTCCTGTAAGAAAAGATGTTCAGTCTTCATCCATGCCCATGTTCTGGTCTCTCAGTCTCCGAGTGGCTCCCCTCTGACCTCAAACTGCAGCAGCCGCCGCTCATCTGTCTCCAGCACGTCGTCTCTGGGTCCAGAGGTCAGGCCAGAGTCGGAGCGGGTCCGACACAGAGAGGTGAGACCAGTCCAGTCTAGAGCCTGAGCAGAGCCAGAGCTGCAGCAGTGATGGTGTCTGATGATGATGATGTATGTGTCTGACAGGTGGAGAAGCTGCTGAGGGCTGTCGCTGATGGAGACGTGCAGATGGTAAGTTTAAGGAACTTCGTTGGTTTTAAACATTCAATGCTTAGCAGTAATGATGTGTGCATCTCAGGTGCGCTACCTCTTGGAATGGACCGATGATGAGGAAGATGAAGAAGAGATACAGTCTGAGGCGCCAGTCTGCCATCCTCTGTGTCAGTGTCCAAACTGTGCTCCTACTCAGAAGGTGGGACAGTTTGTGGTGTGATGTTGGCCTGTCAGAATGTGAGGGTGTTGGACTGCTATTGACATACGTCTCTGATGTCCTGCAGCTGTCGGTGCAACAGGCAGGAGTTCTTGGCGTGAACAGCTGTAACGCAGACGGGTTCACGCCCCTGCATGTCGCCGCTCTGCACGGCCACGCTGCACTGGCCGTGATGCTGATACGCCACGGGGCCAACGTCAACGCCCGCACCAACCAAAGCACCACGCCCCTTCACCTGGCCAGCCAGAACAGCCACATTCAGGTAGGACCCAGTGAGCTGGGACAAGTCCTTCAGACCCTGAAACTAAGCCCTACATAATAAATACAGATGCCACTGTTCCCTCAGAGTTAAAATCTATTTATTTATTTATTTATTTGTTTATTTATTTAGAAAAATGTTTTAGAGCTTTTATTTGATCTTTCTGATGTTTTTATTTATTGACTGATTAATGAATGAATTTATTTTTAACAGTTTTATTTTTGATAGTTTTAGGCAGATTTTATTGTTCATATAGTCAGTGCTTTGTAAAAGTCAAACTATTGGTACTGTTAATTAAACTTAAGTTATTGCTAATTCAACATTAGCTAATGTTAAATAAACTTGAACTAATGCTAAATAAACTTATGTTATTGCTACTTAAACATGAATCAATGGTAATTAAACTTGAAGTAATGCAGAATAAACTTGAGCTAACAAACATAAGCTATTGCTAATTAAACCGCAGCTATTGGTAATTGAACCTCTGCTGACTAAGTTGATACATTAACATGAACCATTAGTAATTGAGCTAGTGCTACGTTAATTTTAGCATTTGCTGAAGTTAATGCTACATTGAGCTTGAGTAAATGCTACTTAAACTTGACATAATGCTAAATAAACTTCAGATAATGCTAAATAAACTTGTCCTGATGCATCTCAGTAATCCAGGTAGAAAAATCAGACTTCTTCAGTCTGAAGAAGTCTCTTTGAGGAGACAAAACGTTTCATTAAAGATGAACCCGTCCAGAGGAACTACCTTTTTTTTTTTTTTTACTTTTTGATCTATACAAACTTGAGATAATGCTTTATAAAATTAAGATAATGGTACATTAACTTGAACTATTAGTAATTAAATTTGAATTAATGCTACTTAAACCTTTGTCTGTTCAGTACCTGGTTGTAATTGCTTTCCCATTCAGGTGTGAAAAGATATATTTAATCAATCAATAAATGAGTTGATCGATGTACTGACTCACTCTTCAGATCTTTGGATCTTTTTTTTTTGCAAAAAAATGTTAATTTTTTTCCAGGAAAAAATGTTTCCTGGAATTAAATGTTGTGGTTAATATTGAGGCTAAAATTCTGTCATTTTGATGTTCAGGTTGTGAGGTTTCTGCTGGAGTGTAACGCAAAGCTAAACAAGAAGGACCATTATGGGAACACATGTTTGATTTACGCATGTCTCCATGGAAACCTGGAGATTGCCAGCACTCTGTTGCAGGTACACACTCACAGTCTCTCTCTCTCACACACACACACACACACACACAC